AACAAGATTACTTATAGTGAAACCACCTCGTGATGATGGATAGTAGACTAAAAGCTTAGAATCAAACTATAACATATAAAACTACCCTGTATAAGAGATGCAAACAGTGACATTTGACCTTTTTAGAGAGCATTTAGACAAAAAATAAAAACCTTCAGTCGGGTCATTTGGGTGCATTTTCCCATATCTCCTGGCCACTCGTTTCGATTTTTGATTGATTGACATCTCTTTAAACAGTTAGAGCCAATATAATCAAGGGAAGTTCCTACAATCCATCTAAACATTACCTCATTGGTGAATGAGTTCTGCGCAGCAGAATTCCCGAACCGGAAGCTCGATACACTTTCCTGGTGGTCTATCATTGGCAGCTAATATTAAACTCCGTTTTGACTATAAAAATGGAATGATGGATTATCAGTTAGGGTTGGAACCGAATACGTCGGTTCCAGATGAGAACCGATAAGAAAATGCCGGGTACGCGGTTACCCATCGACCAAAATACACAATTTTGGTTCTGCTTAACGGTTCCTAAACGCGGTAGATCCCTGTATTCCAGCAGGTCCGTCTGCACCGCGGCGACCCGTGGAATACAGGGCGGGACCTGGAGAATCACAGAACCGGCCGGTCCTCAGCGGGCCGTTGACACGGCCGCTCGGTACGCTGACGGCCGGCACCGGCCCTTAATAAACAGCTCATGTAAGTTGCACTGACAGGCGACAGAGGTCCACAGTTGCCCCGCAGCGAGGCTCCCCCGCCCTCCCGTAAAGTTCACGGATCTCAGTCATCTTCATAACACCAAGACGCGATCTTCGGTAAAACGCTCCCTAAAGGTGAGGGCTCGCACTAGCACTAACGTTAAAGAAAAGACAAGCGCACAAGGGTGTAAAGCCTGTTAATTAGCTGCCAGCAGGGCATAGGCCTGAGTTAAAATAAAGCACGCTATTGTGGGGCAATCATTTGATTGGGGCATAGTATATAAGTTTTTTGTAAACAATGTCAGTTATAAGCTTAAAAGAATAAAGATAATTTTTGTTATCTAAGACGTTTGACCTGCTTTCTTTTAACAATTTTGGAAATCAAAACGGGGAATTCGATATAGAACGCGGATATTGATACTGGGGCAGAACACGCGGAATCGATACATTTCAAACGATAGCCCACCACGTAATTATCAGTAATTCATTCAAAGTGAGCACAGCATCATCATTGGATATAACTTCAGCAGTCGTTTTTATTATCGTTTTAATGGCCATTAAATTAACGATTTTGATGCAGTAAATCAAGCGGCTAAGGTGAGCACGACTTTCCGCGTGTTATTGCTTTCCGTCAATGTCATGTTGTTTTTGATGTCTTGTTTCGCCTTCCGTGCTCTTGTCTGGCGGTTCTGATCGTTTTTCCGTTATTGATGAATACCAATACGCTATAGCATTCTGTGAACCTCCAGGCTTTAATCGTGATTATTCTTCTTATTGTGGGGCCAGTTACGATAACTAATAATGGTGTTTTAGGGCCTTCGAGTTTGCTTGCAAGTGCGATTGCATTTTTTCGCTCAGTTGGCTCACTTAGACACTTCTTGTGAGACTTGTGCTTGTTTCGGTATGGTCGTCTTTCGTTTCGTGGTTTTCTAACCGTTAAAGTGAGTATGACACATTTAGGTTTTTAAAACAATACTTAGATGCCCTGGACAATCAGTTTCGTGAAAAACCCGTGCAATTGGCAATATATCTGCAGTCAAGCCATACAGTTTGGCGCGGCAGAGTAGCCTATTTGTGGGGACAGGGTTTGAGGAAAAGAAAAACTACATCCTGAACGTGTGGTCATCTCTCTAATGTAAAGACCCACCTCTGTGGGAATAGCCCCATAAGTAACCAGCCTTTATTATTATTTGTTTTCAAAGAAAAAGTTGTAAAGACAAAAATAAGTACAAAAGTTGTAAGGCATAACCTATAAAGTATGTAGACAAACGCGGCAGACAGTAGGCCAAAGGGGCTGGTCGGGGAAAGGCGAGGGTTCCAGAGTAGGCCAAGAGGGAGACGGCAGGTACAGGCAGGGTCAGGGAGCAGCGAGGGCAAGATTAAGTCGCGGGTACCAGGCCGGGTGCCAGGAAAACAGCGCGAGGCCAGACTAGTCGCGGGTAGCAAGGCTGGGTCAGGGAGTGCAGGGCGAGGCCCCAGAATAGTCCGGGGTACAGGCCTGGGTCAGGCGAGCAGGCGA